ATTTTTAAGCTTCGAAATGCAGATGCGAAGGTAAAGCAATATTCTTCAAAATTTTTATGTTTGGAGCATCCACACTTTTGGTATGTACGAGCTGCAGAACTTTTGAATTAGACAAATATTACGCTAACTGACAGCTTGAGACTTTATATTTAAAATTTTTTGTTCGTTTTCGACAAATATCGAGCAATACTCCTATTTATTTTTGCACGTACTTTTATTGCATAAAAGCATTTGTAATTCTATATAACCTATACGACGTAAACTTTGCAAAAAAATGTCAGTGTTCTGTCGGTAAAGTTTTCAGCTTCAACATCCCCTTAACAATATGAATAACTGACATAATCTGATAAACAGTAATGAAATTTACCGTTGATATTCTTCAATTAATTTCTCAATAATTAAGTCAAAAAAAATGATACTAAAATTTCAGTACTAAAGTGTTTAATACATTCTATCTGCTCATTTATGCGTTAATCATCATCATACTAATTATCAAGCATCCTGCATATATAAAAAAGATATAATAACATCGCCGATTTTTTATACTGGCATCACCGGAAAGCAAGAAATATTTTATTGAGAAAAATAAAAAGAAATAAACGTATTCTTTATTTCAAAATTATGATTTTTCTGTTAAAGACTATACAAATAATATATACTTTTAGTAAAATCAACGAAAATATTTTCTTAATATTTTACTCACCGCTTTAGCAATCTGGATGATGAGCAATCTATGAGTAAGAGGATATCCCATCGGGTCGTCATCTCTGTTTAATATTTGGATACAAATTTCGGGAATCCGACATCCTCCATGTAAACTACTATGCACGATTTTCATTAAACACCGATCACTTTCCGTTTCATTAGGTGTTCCACGCCAAATCGAATTAACGATACCCAAGTAATTAAACGATCGGCTAGAATTGAATCTCACTCTTGAAAAGATCCTTGTCCATGATATAGGTTTTATCCATAAATCAGGATTATTTAAGACTGATTGCACTGTAAAATATAGCTTATAATTTTAATAACACGTATATACATAATATTAAATATTATTAATGAATTAATTTTTTAAAAAACATTTTTTTCATGTTTAATTTTTAAATATGTTTTAAAACATCTCAGAATATATATATATATATATATATATATATATATATATATATAAATAATTAATACTTTAAAAATTGGAATATCCACGTGTTAATAGATCTACTATTTTCAACTGCTGTATAATTCGAGATCAAAAGTAATTCCCTTTAGTATAAATAATATAACTTCTAAATGTCCCATTCTTGCTATTCACATTGTAGAAAATATCTTCAGAAATTTTTTGTCTATTCTCTCTTTATGAACTATCTTCTATATCTTTCTAGAAGTTTTTCCATCGTCTATTTTTTAAAAACTGTTCGAATATACTTTGTTAAATCTTGAATCCAATAAACATAAAATAAATGACTTTAGTAAAAAAAAATATCTCATCGTGCATTTCACACATATTATGCAATGTGTCTACTTACACAAAAATTCGTTTTCGTTTTTCGGAATAACGACATTCATCAAACTTCTTCGAGTTAAATCGCACAGTACAATTATATCTTCAAGAGCATTAAGAAATCTGTTTTCCAAATACCACACATTCTCATGCAAAAGTGCTGCCGCCAAATTAGCTGTTTCAATAAAGCATGATCACTAGATGTACAATAGTTATAAACACATTTGGTAAATATTCATGATATGTTATATTTCATTGTTCTTTTTTATTTTGAGATATATCAAAAATATATAATATTTAATATATAATATTAAATATATATTATATATATTATATATATTAAATATATAATATACAAAATATACATAAAATATACAACTATATATATAGTATATATAAAATATACAACTTTGTAAAAATCGATTAAATTTGTCCAAAAAATATATACAATTATTTATAAACGTCTCTAATTATTGAACAATTTGAAAATTTACAATATCAGTTGATTATAAATATTTCCCTAGAAGCGCCAATGCGCATATAATGCTCTTTTAATACGCATTTAATGCAGTTGAATGCGCATTAAAAGCGTGTTATACGCGCATTGACGCTCCTTGGATTCTTACCTTCAGTTAAAGTAATACCGAAAGTTACATCAACATTCATCTGCTGAACTTTATTGTAGATGTAATCGAGAACTTTGTATAAGGCAATTAGTTTTCTTTCTGAAACGGTCAATATATAGAGGAAAGTAACCTAAAGCGACATAGGCCTCCTAAAGCGACATACCTTTATATCTCATATATTAAATGTTGTATTTTATCGAAACTAATATAAACGTAATTCGTTTTATCAGTTAAGTCATAAAAAAATTCTTACTTGGTATATTTCTTGTTTCTTTTATATGCTAAATTAACAAATATCGAATTTTAGAAATTCGTAAGTTTTATTTCTATGATTTTTATTGACAAATTACGTAGACTAAACAGCTATAATTATCTTTTTGTTCAATATTAAATTCTTCTACATACATTTGGCTTTTGTAAAAATATTTGATAAATGTTCACTTTAGGGGAGTCACTTTCGATGACCTTGATCTTGACATATGTTGTTAAGGTCATTGTCCTAAATAACACGCAAAAGGTACTGTTTACCATATTTCAATAGATGGGTTAGGTTTTTGGGGGATGAGGTGCAAAGGGAGGGGCGGAGCCTTTCCCTCGCACATATACTGTTTACCATATTTCCATATACAGGGTGTCCCGAAGTCCCATGATGACCCTTGGTGAGAACGTAGAACGGATTGAGGTGAGCAAGAAAGTCCTGTGCCGTTTTGCGATATTCGCAATAGTTTTTAAGAAATTAATTATTTTGTCTCAACAAATCAGCGTACAGAAAGCGGCAGCGGAAAGAAAGATGCCTTCGGCCGACGTGCGACCGTGACACTCGCGAATCGTATCTCGCCGCATCCCTCCGCCCATAGCTACGAGACATAGACTCGCTATGTCTCGTAGCTATGGGCGGAGGGATGCGGCGAGATACGATTCGCGAGTGTCACGGTCGCACGTCGGCCGAAGGCATCTTTCTTTCCGCTGCCGCTTTCTGTACGCTGATTTGTTGAGACAAAATAATTAATTTCTCAAAAACTATTGCGAATATCGCAAAACGGCACAGGACTTTCTTGCTCACCTCAATCCGTTCTACGTTCTCACCAAGGGTCATCATGGGACTTCGGGACACCCTGTATATATATCCATATTTCCATTTCCATATTTCCATATACTGTGTGCAAAAATTACGTTTAACTTCTAAAACTTCTTTTGTTAATAACTTTTTAACAAACAACGAGCAACGGCTAAAACCTTCTGAAGGTTACTCAGGAGGGTGACCTCTATAATATATATGTCAAGATCAAGATCATCGGAGGTGACTTCCCTAAAACATTTACCAAAATGACATACCTACAGTATGCGATAGGTGCGATACTCTGTGACTAGGATAACCTGATTCTAACCTTCCATTGTGACGTGACATTTGTTTATTTTAAAGTTTAATTTTGTTTAACTTAAAAATATAACATAGGGTAAATTCGGAAAAAATGGTCATACTTTTTTAAAATGTAAAAAATATATTTCTTATTGTTATTTCTTAATAGCATTTGGCACATTACTTCACTAAAGCCTACCCATACAGAATAAAATATCTAATAGATATATAATGGATATCTACATATCCATATAATGTCCATATCTACAATGGACATCTAGCAAACATTTAATAAATGTATAAGATATCCATATCCACTCAATAACTACTGGGGATATCCACTAGATATCCACACATTATCCATACATATCCACCCAATAACTACTGCGGATATTCACTAGATATCCACACGTTATCCATATTCACCCAATAACTACTGAGAACGTTCACATGTTATCCATATATTCATATCCATTCAATAGCTACTGAAGATATTCTCTAGATATCCATACGTTATCCATATATCCATATCCACAATATCCAATAGCTATTGGGGCTTTGCCGACATTATATATTGTTAAATATATTTTATTAACTTAACAAAATATTTATTACATTTTAGAAAACATGCGATAAATGTAAAGTAATATTTTTTTTTTAATTTGTAAAATGAGCTGTAAAATTATGAATTTCTAGTTAAGAAGAAATGATTTCTTTGATTTAAAATATCTATATATAAGAATAAACAAATGATTCTCTTACACACTCACAAAAAGAAAATTAGTTTTTTAAAGGTAAAAGCTGTGTTTAAATAAATATTTGCTAGTTTTAAAAGTAAATGAAATATAGGTAAATTATTTTATAAATCTAAATAAATAATTTTTCTAACATTAAAAGTATCTTTCATGTTTCAAATTAAAGTTTATTTTATTATCAGAAAATAATTTATTTAAATTTAATATAAAATATTTTATTTAAATTTAATATAAAATATTTTATTTGTATTTTACTTACTTTTAAAACAAGTAAATATTTTTTAAATATACTTTTTATATATTTTTTAAATATACATTTTACATTTAAAAAGATGTTTCTCTTTTTTTAAATAAATCGTTTGTTTTCGTACTTGGATATACCATATGTATACAATTTAAGCATCGCTCACAAGGGAGGTTAGGCAACCCGAAAATTCAGAAAATTCTGAAAAAATTTGTGCAAGTAGAGTAGTTCATACATAACACAAAACTATTTTTTTTCGTGCCATATTTTGGTTTGAAAGGGTGATATCACCCCTTGAAAAAAATGCAGATTTGTTTTTTTCGCGTAATAAGTTCAGAACGGTGAGAGATATAAAAAAAAAAAGTTTAAACAAAAGTTGCATCTCATTTTTATGTCTACAAAACTACGTACAGACAATTATCGAAAAATCCATTTTTTTCGAGTTACCCCTACCACCAACCCTTAAAATTAAGTTTTTGTACTGTGTAATTTTATGCAAAAATACTTCTCCACAACCTCTTTTCATACATCATAATCAATATATATGTGTTCTATTTTTTTTAATAAAAAAAAATAAATGAAAAATCTCTATTATCGAATTTGAAATCCGTTTTAGCAGTTTGAATTATTAAAATAGTTTCATAAAGCGATATTTAAATTATTATTTATATCAATTTCAGACAGCTTTCAATTATTTAAGCAAGACAGTATGTACTTACAACTACTTGAAAGATAAAACTAATTAAAACTAATCAATGACGTATATGAATCATAACAACAGCAACATACATACATTACTTGAAGTGTTATTTTATTACAATATTTTGTAAACCACACGATAAATAAGATATTGCATGAAGCTCTATCTTAACATTAAAGGACGCAGAGTCACGTATTGACGATAACCTTATCGAATGTTCCGATAATGCGAACGTATTTTATTCCTGATCATTAGTACATATTGGTAAGATAAGCGTCATCGAGCAGATGTCGGCTTAATTTTTTAATTGATAATTGCGTCTTTTGATTGATATAAATATGCTCGAGGAAGTAGCTTATTCCCAGTGTCATTTACGACTGCAAGCAATCACCATTCTATTGAAAAAAGTTAGTGATCATTGCTTGATACACTTCTCTTTAAAATGACGTTGATTAATGTTGCAAACGTAATAAACATGTTAGCGACTACGTTTCAAATTGCGAGTATAGCACAGACACCTGTAACGCTGTCTGAAATTGAAGTGCATAATGAAATTCATGACATTATATAAAATTTTCTAAACGTACATTCCGTACCATTAATTGAACATGATTACGTGCTTGATTTTGCCGATCCATCAGAACCACATGGAACACAAGTTGTAGAGTACATTACAGCTGCAGAAGAAGAAGAAGACAATTTTGAACCTGAAGAATGCATTGTTGACAATGAAGGTGGAAAAGTCGACTTCAGTTATAAGA